AACAACAACAACAACAACAACAACAGCAGCAGCACCACCAAGTGTACCAAGAACAGCCACAGCAAACGCAACCACAACAACAACAACAACAACAACAACAACAACAGCAGCAGCACCACCAAGTGTACCAAGAACAGCCACAGCAAACGCAACCACAACAACAATTGCAACGGGGACAGCCACAGCCACAGTCACAGGAGCAACAACAGCAAGAGCAAGTACAACAGCAGCAGCAAGAACAAGAGAGACGACGCGCGTGCGAGTCTGCATTGACGCTGGCGGAGGTTGAGCTGTCAACACTCGTGCTGGTGAGTGCAGTGGTGAACACAAACAATTCATCGTGCATTGCTCCCTTCCTTCGTTCCTTCGTTCCTTGCTTCTTCCTTCATTGACCCGGAGTACCGTCAGTCCTCTTTGTTTATTCATGCTACATCTCTTTCACACACGTATGCACACTCACATATCGCCCGCATTCACTCACATGTCCACGTTTTCGCTCCTCTTCGTCTTGTTACCACTACGACCACCACCATGACCACCACCACCAGGCGCTGTCTGGCGCGCGCAAAGACATGCGGGCAGCGGAGGCGGGGGAGCGAGCGGCGAGAGCAAGACTGGATGCGCTTCTATTTGAGAAGAGCACAGCAACAGCCGTCTTCTACAGATCACTGGTGCGTACGTTTTGAATCGTGTGTCAACGCGTGTTGGCATGGTCTTTGCGCAGTGACGGGTTTCGCATGCATGTGCCTGCGCGTTTGTGGGTGCTCCCTATCACGTTCGCTTCGCCTCACCCCCTCCATACCCTCCGGAATTCCACGGTGTACCCCCTCCCCTCCTCTTGTTCAAAACACACATTTACGGCTCAGGAAACGAGTGCTGGGCATCTGCATCTCGGCGCGTTTGTGTATGTGCAGCGATCTGCCCTCGTCGGCGACGAGCAGCCGCCAATTTCAAAACCAGCAATCGTCCAAATCACAATGGTGGGCGCGCCTTGCTGTGCGATTTGGGTTGTTGCTTTTCAGTTTGCATTGTTCGTTGCATTGCAACTGATGGTCTTTGCTAGCGTGTGACATTGCTGTGTCCTCTCCATGATGCGTGACAAATTCCATTGTGTTGCATCCTCCCCCCCCCCCATCACCAACTCACATCCACTCATTACGCGTGCATGTGTGCGTGTGTGTGCGTCTGCGTGCGTGTGCGTGTGCGTGTGCGTGTGTGTTTCGTGAATGACCAGTTGACGAGGGACGTGCGTACGGCTTCAGTTTCCGTCTTTGGGCAGCTGTTCTTCTACCCCGCAGAGACATTCGTCCACCACACCCAGCGCTTTTACGCCAACGAGGTACCACAGCACACATGGTCGGACAGCTCACGTGGGCTTCTTCTGTCAGACAGACAGACAGACAGACAGACAGACAGACAGACAGACAGACAGACAGACAGACAGACAGACAGACAGACAGACAGACAGACAGACAGACAGACAGACAGACAGACAGACAGACAGACAGACAGACAGACAGACAGACACACACACACACACACACACACACGTGTGTTACATCAGCCTTGTATCAATCCGCCACAGGTCCTTGTCGTTTTCACGGCCCTTCTCACATCAATTCGCCCCCTGCGTTGCATCAGGTTGCGTTTACATCGACGACTGTTGAGTTTGCGCCGGACGATATTGCTGGCAACTGTTTCGTCATGACACCAAAGGAATACGTGCACAGTACGTGATTGCGCGATCGCAAACACACGAGCACAAGCACAAACGCACACATGACCGACGATGGGCCATTGTATTGTATTGTGTGTGTGTACGCATGTGTGTTTGTGCAAGTTGTGATTGCTGAAAGAGCGGCAAGACTGGAACTTCTTCTTCTTTGTTGTGATTCCCTTCCCTTGAAGTGACCAACCACTCATTGCATCGCTCACACTCTTCGCCATGTCCACCCTGCATCTGTACTTCTGTTTGTCATTTACTTGTGTGCGTGTGCAGTGCGACCGCTGTGTGTTGCGGCAGATGATGTGTATGTGTGCGAGTACCGATACGCACCGGAAACGCGCTCGTGGGCGTCCATCAAGACCTTCGATGCGTACGTTGCGGCAGCAGGTGGTGGCGGTGGTGGTGGTGATGATGATGCTTGGTTGAATTGGATTGGCAACGGCAAGAAAGGCGAATTGTGGGCGCTGTTGTACCCTTTGCTCATGCTCTAACTTGTACACATGTACAGGCTTTTACACACACATGCACACACACATGAACACATGAACACATGCACACATGAACACATGCACACATGCACACATGCACACATGCACACACATACACACAACCCCCTTTTCAGGTTTCCGCTTCCCCTTAATCGCACCTTCTTTCGGATTTTACCGGAGAAGAACGACATTCAGCGCTCGCTGACAGGTGAACAACAGCATTTCATGCTGGTGCGATAATGGCGTGATGAGTGATGGTGGTTGTGGTGAAGCGAAGCCTTGTCTGCTGTCATGCTACGTGTTGCCACTCATCAGCGCGAATATTAACGGCAATGGGTGTGGCGTACACGTGTAAATGTACACGTGCGTTTGCGTGAATGAATATTGATTGACAGTGGATGGCAAGCAGGCCTCGTCGCAGGGAAGCGTGAGTTGCTGCTGCAGACACAAAGCTGCGTTGTAGACTCTGCGTTTGTTTCTTTGCTTGAAGTTTTCCTCTTTCACATACACAAACACAAACACAAACACAAACATACACACGCACGCACACATACGCACCGGCTTACGCACACACACTCTTCATTCATGTATGCAATCGCAACCACATTCTCAGAGGCGAAAGAGTGTCAAGGCGGATGGCATGTCGCTGGGCGGCGACTTGTATGTGACGTTCATCACACGCGAGGAAGGCGACACGCGCTGGCCACCGTTTGAACGAGAGCTCCAACTCCAACGACACGGTCCGTGGTTAAGGGATGATGGGGAGGGGGTACATGATAGATGACCGTGATGACCGTGAGGAATGTGATGAACGTGAGGAACGTGATGAACGTGATGAACGTGAGGAACGTGATGAACGTGAGGAACATGGAGCATGGCAGGTTTAAGTGTAGCCTCATGGCACACACACACACACACATGCACATGCACACACACACATTCACACGCACAGACACACACATATATACTCACCCGCTCCACTCAAACACACACGCACATATTCACTCACTAACCCACTCATTCACCCACGCGCGCGCACACCCTCCATCCATTTATGACTTGTCCCTCCGTGCAGGTGCGAGTGCGAGCGCACGTGCCGCCACACCTGAGCCGCGCCCACCGCTGATGGTGATTGTGGAGGATTTGCGGGAAAAGCTGAAGGACCGCGCAATCAAGAGTGTGCCGCGCTCGAGCGTGCCCGAGGTCATTGATGCCTCGTACCTCCTCGCAGATACCAAGCGCGCCCAGCGGTTCCTCGCTCGCACAACACCAACAATAGCAACAGCAGCAACAACGCCAACAACAGCGAAGACAAGACCCGCCTTGCCGCCACCTGCGTCAGCACCCTGATGTTTGCTGCCTGTTGTTTCGCTGTGTACCGTAGTGTGTGGTGTGTGTTGTTGTGTGCTTGTTTTGTGCGTTGTGTTGTGTGTTCATGCACTTGTCGTTCGTGGTCGTTGTTGAGCTTAGGCTTGGTTTGGTGTTGTTGTGCATGGTATGGCATTGTGACGGCGCGTCGCCGTGAGTGAACAGCAGCATGGAGACATGAAGGGGAGAGAACAGGGGACAGGAAAGAAGGGAAAGGGGGGGGGAGACAAGGAGATGGGGGACAACGACAACAAGACAAGAGCCACTGCACAACAAGAAGGTCAGAGCCCACTGCTCACACAATTCACACACCACACGCACTTCACACACACACACGCACACACACAGCGCCGATGTTTGACTAATGATTTCCAAGAAACATCTCAGTCCGCATGCGAAGCAAAGCAGACGCACGCGCATTTCTGTTCCGCCAACCACAACTCCTTGCTTGCTTGCTTGCTTGCTTGCTTGCTTGTTTCACTGCCTTGTGTGTATGTGGCAGTGTGGTGTGGTGTTTGATTGTGGTTGGTGGTCGCTTCGTTGTCGCACGGGATACACGTTGAGGGAGCGACAGAGGCTCGCCGCACACGACACGCGGTATGAGCTATACACGATCAACTGTGACACATACCCCGCCCTCCATCACTGTTCCATCACATCAAACCCTTTGTTCGCCAACAGCATGGTCCTTCTTTGATTGATCACTGACCGCCAACCACTGGCATTGGCCAACGTTCCCTGCTTGCCCTGACAGCAGTCGCGTGGACCTGTCGCTATGAGCGACTCCATCCCAACCACGCACCCAAACCTCGACCTCTTTTCCACGGTGGTGAGTGCGATGCGCAACACTTTTGTTCAACTCTGCCCGTTCCTTGCGTGGTGCAATGACACACAGCGCTTATTCTGCTTGATATCACTGACTGCAATGCGAGCCTTTGATGTCCTCAACTCATCCCGACACACACACACACACACACACACACACACACACACACAAAACTCTCTTCATCTGTTGTGTACCTGCGCCGTCTTCCTTTCGACGACAGGACAATGGCAATGATCTCTCTCCACTGGACGACACAAAGGGCTTTGCACCGGTGCGATGTCCTCGTTGCTCTCCACGTGCATGTTGCTGATGCTTGCATGTGCGTACATGTTGCCGTCCTTATGTATGTGTGCTTTGCTCACTCGTAGAAGGCGTTTCTCACTGATGTATGATGCCTGTATTGGCGTGTGGTGTTTTTTGCTTGCTATTGTCCACGTTTCGCTTGGGACCCACCCTTTGACCGCGTTGAACACCACGCCCTGGGGCTGCACCACCCTCTTGGCTGTTGCCCTAACCATCCATCAGGGGTAAGCACACGCGCAGAACAGGGTGGGAGAGGCACGCATCCCTTGCATTGTTTGTTTTTGACGTGCAAGCAAGCGACACGACCACGCTCGCGCAGTTGTTTCATTTGCAGCAAGTGTGAATCACGCCCCTGTTTCGCCCATCCTACCACCTCCACCTCACCTCACCTCACCTCACCTCACCTCACCTCACCTCACTCCACCTCACCTCAACTGCGCGCACGCCACGATGCTTCGCTTGCTTTGCACACTAGGCACTCGTTCCAGCCATTGGACATGACTGGCAGCGGGCACATGGGCAGTCGCTTGCACAGCCCGACATCCATGCACGGCGATCTGTTTGAACTGATGCCCGTACCGAAGCGGTCCAAGACCATGGATATGCATGGCTCCGCCACGTCCACCGCCGCCACGTCAGCGCCCACAACAACAGCAGCAACGATGGCGCCGACACCAGCCACCTCCGCGGCACTGGCAACCAATGCCGGGGCATGGGACGTCAGCTTTGGCGAGGGCGATGCAACGGACGACTTCTTGTGGGGGGAACTGCAAGACCTCAATCAGCCACTAGGCAGCACACCGGTGTCGCCCATGTTTCCTGAATCGAGCCCGCACCATTGCACGGCATCGCCGCGGCGATTGCTCACAGCAGGCGCAATACCAGACGCACCGTCGCACCACCACCAGCACCCGCACCAGCAACAGAGCGTGGACGGCGAGAATGGCAGTGGCATGCTCGTTGCGCCAGCAGGGAGCGTGTACTCTGCGCAGCCACTACCGTCTGGCCCAGGAAAACCAACAGTGGCTGGTGGCGCCAACGGCAGGCACACCACTACCGCCAGCAGCAGCAGCAGCGGCAGCAGCAGTGGTCATGGTGGTGCGTCGAAGAAGCAGAAGAAAGGGCGAGGAAGGGCAAGCGGTGGCGGTCGCAAGCGCAGTGGTGGTAAAGGGAGCAAGAAGCGTGGGCAAGGTGCAAGTGCGGGCGCCAAGTGGAAGCACAACGCAACACAGCCAGCCGGCACACCAGCAGCGCATCAGTCATCGCTTGCGCCCGTACAGCTGCCGCTGACAACCAGTCATGGCTCCTATCATCATCACCCGACATCAACACACGCGCACACACCAGCAGCCGGGTGGGCCCACACGTCCCATCACGCCAACACCAACACCAATGAGTACAGCATGGACAACACGGGTGGTGCCCGCTGCACGTGCGAGCAGTGCACCACGGGCACGGGTATGGCATCGGCTGCGTGTGCATCTTCAATGCCGCCACCACCCTCCGGTAGCCTGCGGTACGTTGTGGACAACGACAGTAGCAGCAGCAGCAGCAGTAGCAACAACAGCTACAACAGCTGCAGCAATGGGAACGGGCACGCGACGAATGGGAGTAACGACTCTAGTGCAAGCTCGGCGTCCATCTCCCCACCGACGGCCCACAGCCCCGCAGCAGGGAAGGCGCCACCCGTCTCACTCACAACACCAGCACCACCCGTCTCCTCAGCAGCGGCTGCAGTGGACACCACGACAAGCGGTCAGGCAGGTGCACATGGCAGTGCACACCATATGAATGGGATGAAGGCGATGGCTGCGAGGAGAGGCAACAAGGGCCGCATTGCGCATGACGCCACGCCCGTCAGGCAGGACGCAGTTGCACAGGTCAGCATGTTTGTCTGTATACAACGAGACGAATCATTGGAGGAGGAGGCGAGGAGGAGAGGAGGGATCAGGCAAACTTGGCTTTCATCACCTTGCCCTTACAGCGCACACACACACACACACACACACACGGATGGTTGCGCCCAGTCAACTTACACGCACATGCACGCCCTCGCTTGTTGCCCTGCTTCTTGTCAACGGCTGATTTTAGTTTATTGACAGTCTGACGTATGAGGAGCGTGCGCTGATGGAGAAGGAGGGCGCTGTCGTGCACAAGTGCGTTTGCCCATCTTGTCTCGACTGCGTGTTTGTGTGGATGTGTGTGTGTGTGTTGGAAGAGGAAAGCGATCGCATCTTTTTCTTGTGTGTTCCTGCATGTTTTGAACGCGCTCAAACACACATGTGTGTGTGTGTTTCGCGCTTGCTTGCTGTGACGCAGGCTGGACTATGTGTCCACTGGGCGTTTGAAGGAGCTCAAGGCCATCCGCCGGAAAATCAAGGTGCGTGCGTGCGTGTGCGTGTGCGTATGTACTCTGCATGTGCCACAAGCTCCGTCGAGTGGCTATGCTCTGTTGAGATGCTCAGATGGACGCTGCTCTGTGTCTGTCTATCTGTCTGTGTTTGTGTCTTGTCTGTGTGTGTCTCTGTGTTTGTGTCTTGTCTGTGTGTGTGTCTCTGTGTTTGTGTCTTGTCTGTGTGTGTGTGTCTGTCTCCTTTGTCTTCCTCTTCATGTCAGCAACACCACCTCACTCTTCCATCCCCAAACGCTTGCTTTGTGGCCTTGTCCCACCACTGCTTCCCCCTCCTCGTTAATGTACGAGCAGAACAAGCTGTCTGCGAAGCACAGCCGCATGCGGCGGAAGGAGTACATCTCGACGCTTGAGAGCGAGAAGGAGCAGATGGCTGCGCAGATTAAGCAGCTGCAGTACAAGGTCTCCGATCTCCAGCACGAAAACTGCCAGCTCCGCTCCAAGTCGTCAACAGGGTGTGTACGCGCTCGTGCGCATGTGTGTGTGTGCGCATGCGTGTTGTGTGAAACGTATGGGGCTGTTGTCTCTCTCTCTCTCCCTCTCTCTGTCTCTCGCTCTGTCTCTCGCTCTGTCTCTCGCTTTCTTCAACCATCTCATCTCGCTTCAACCTGCCCTCTTCCAACCCACCACCCAATAACCTCTCCCCCTTGACGCCAACCTGTGCGTGTGTATGTGCGTGTGTGTACATGCATGTGTGCATGTATGTGTGCATGTATGTGTGTGTGCGGGTGCAGCCGCAAGGCGACGCCAACGTCAGCGAGCAAGGCTGCCGCTGCTGCTGGTCCCGGCGCCTGTGCCATCCTCGTGATGGCCCTCGCCCTCAGCACAGCCACCCCGCAGCCATCAGCACACACCCTTGCCGCAAAGGGCCAGCTGCAGGTACGTGTGTGCGTGCGTGTGTGTACGCGCATGTGCGTGTGTGCGTGTGTTTGAGTGCGTTTGTGAGGGCATTTTGTGTGCGCATGTGCGTGCCTGGTGTTTTTTTTTTTTTTTTGTGTCGCAAACAACGGCCGCGATAGCTTCCTTTGTCTGCACACGTCAATCCATTCGCACCCCACCGTCTTTGTACCTGGTGCAGAGTTCGGTGCTTGGCGGGCTGTTGCGGCCCGGCGCCATCCAGACGGCGCTCTCGCTCTCTCCCTCGCAGCGGCAGCAGCTCAAGTCCACGTTTGAAACCCTCGGCATCACCACCAAGGTGCGCCAGTGATGATGTGTGTGTTCGATGTATCTGTTGACACGCGCCTTCGCTATGCCTGCCGCCTTGCTGCGTTGCACATGCCCAACACACACACACACACACGTACACACGCACAAAATCACACACACACGTACACACGCACAAAATCACACACACACACACACACACGCACAAAATCACACACACACACACACACACACACGCACAAAATCACACACACACACACACACACACACACACACACACACACACACACACACACACACACACACACACACACACACACACACACACACACACACACAGCTGGCCGAGCTTGGCCAGTCGCTGCCCGGGTCACCGCTGATGGACATTGCTGTTGTGAGCACGCCGGCGACTGCTGCTCCCGCCGCCACACCAGCAGCACCAGCAGTGACAGCCGCCACCACAACCACGACACATGGCGCAAAGAAGTGGGTGGTGCCTGGCACGACGCTATCACAGGTGATGGCGACTCCCACAGCGCAGCCGCCAGTCACATACCCTCAGTCATATGCGCACACAAGCACAGCTGCCACCACCGCCCCTCCAAGCACGTACACCACTGCTGCCCATGTCAACGTGATGGCAGCACCTGCATCCACTGTGCAGCCCCAGTACCAGCAGCAGTACCAGTACCAGTACCAGCAGCAGCAACAAGTGCCCGTGTCGCACGGCGCTGGCCCATCCACATCAGTGGTTGCAGTCCCAGCACCAGTGTCTCGGGCGCAACCCGCGCCTCCAGTGTCCACGACGTACAGCGTCGTGTCGGCACCACCACCTGCGTCTGCTGCCCGCAACAACGTTGGTGTTCCGTACCCCACAACGGCCAAGACAATGGCACCAACGAGAGCAGCACCTGCTGGGGCGAGCGCAAGCGCAACACCGCGCGCGATGATGACAACCATGGCCAGGTCTGCTGCACCCGCGCCGTACGCAAACGCAACGCGCATGGCACCTGTGGCACCGCCCGTTGTTTCGACCACGGCGACGCTGGTTGCACACCCGCCAACGACAGCAACAACAGGCGCACCCACGCCCATGGCCATCAAGGCCGAGGAGGAGGTTGCTGCTGCTCAGTGATGGTAATGGCGATGATTGACGACGATGATGGTGATGATGATGGTGATGATGGTGAACGTGTTTGGATGTTTGGCGGTTTGTGTTGGGAGCTGTGGCCTCGACGCGATGTTGGTTTTGTGTTCAGACACGCACATGCAGCAGTGTATCAGTCCCATTTGCTTTTGTGCTTGTGATTGAACTTAAGAACGCCCCTCTCCTCCTCCCCCCCCCTTTCTTCGCACCCTTTTGCTATTTCCTCATGACTTGTGACTGCGGTGATCAGCTCATACGGGTATGCATGCGCGTGCATGTGTGTGCACGTTGTGCTGGTCTTGCTGTGTTGCTATATGAGCATATGGCTTGGTGAAGAAGACCTTTTGTAGATCTCAGAAGAATAAACCGACCCTCCATATCGCGTGTGCCCCTCATCCATGCATGCTCTCTATCTCCCTTTCTTGCACACACACACGAACACACACACACACACACACACACACACACACACACACACACACACACACACACACACACAATATTTGGTTGTCAAGTACTGCATCCTGGTGGCGGATCGTGTATGATGAACGTTGACATGACTTGCGTGGTGGGCAGCAAAACAACACTGGGCTTCGCATGAGTGAGTGAGTGCGTTGTGTTGTGTTATCTTGGACGGGACAGCGCGAGGGTTGTGCGCTCGTTGGGCCCCATGATGAGGCGGTATGCTTGCTTTTGTCCCGTATCACGATCCGAGAACACAACGTCGTAGTCACCAGGCGGCAGCTCCAAGTTGGTCTGTGCAACAGTTGTGTGTGTGTGTGTGTGTTTGTGTGTGGGCTGGTTGAGTTGAGAAGGCTAAACGTGGTCACACGCACGCAAGGTTCACAGGTGAGATGCAGCTGGGAGATGAAACAAAAGCCACAAAGCACAAGCTGACCTGAAACGGCTGGGTCTGTGGATATGCTTGCCCGTGCGGTTGCTGTACGGAGGAGATGCCGGCATTGTCGCGCTGGTAGACTGCCCTCCTCACATGAGGCTGCGGTTGTGTTTGAATCTGTGGTTGTTGTGCTGGTGCTGGTGCGCACACATGCCGGTGTGGATGCGGGCGTGGACGGAGGTGTGTCTGTGGATGTGCTTGTGCCTGTGGATGTGATCGTTGGTATTGTGGGGCGTGCCGAGCTGCCGCCGCTGCCGCCGCTGCAGCTGCTCGTCGGGAAGTGTGGTGGCGCATGCGCTCGAGGAACTGGGCGGTGGGTGCGTCGTGCTGGCGGCGGTCTCTGCAGAAGAGCTCCATGGCGGTGACACATGCGGAGGACATGTGTGTTGCAAAGCCGTGCCACGCAGCATCAATCGGCAGCGATTGTACCTCTGCTCCCACAGTGGGCTTGGGCATGGTGAACCTGATGGTGAAGAGGGAGTGGCATGGATGTGGTTGCAGTAGTGGCGATGGTGATGGGTGATGTGATGTGTTGCAGTGGTAGCGGTGGTGGGAGCCGAGTGAGATGCGAGGGAACGAGAGAGCGGGAGCGAGAGCAAGCGACATGCATGTCACAACGCCATCACGCACCATGGAGGCACGGACGCTTGCGTGTCGTGAAACACTTGCTGTGTTTGCGCTTGCAGTCGTTGCAACTTGGCCATCTGGGAGTCGTAGTGAGCGACAAGAGCGGTGATTGTGTTGGGCAGTGAGTTGATGAGAGCGAGAAGGTATGTGCAGCACCCCAGCACACACACACACACACACACACACACACACACACACACACACACACACAACCTCTTGCTTGGATTCGTAACGTTTTGCAGCTGTTGCCAAATTGACAAGCTTTTCGCACACCTCAGCGTTCTTTGCCTCGCTCGTCTTGTTCGTGGTTGGTTGTCTTCCCTCCCCTCGCCCTTGTCACATCACCCAACTGGCGTCACATCACATCACGTGTATGTGTGCTTCCTTGTACTGTTAGAGAACGACGTTGGCAGCACGGCCTGCACACAACGGCAGGGCTGACTCCATCGACACCATCGTCATCCACACCTGCACCAACAACATGGGTCAACAACCACACCAGTACACGCAGATAACACAACGCAGCATCAGGCGGCGTGTTTACTTGCGGGACTTGCGGGACTTGCGGCCAGAGCGGGACTTCTTAGACTGCGGTTGAATCAAGGCGAGCATGCAAAGGTGAGCAAAGATGGGACGTACAGTCGACAGAAAGAGAGCTGCAACACCAAAAGAGCAGCAGCAAGCACCCAGTCATGCCTACACACACACACACACACACACACGGAACAAGCAGTAACAGTGCACAGCCGACGAGGGTGGCACCGTCGTCAACTCACCCCGGACTTGGGCTTGGAGGCGAGGATGAGGGCCGACGCGCGGGCAACAGCAGCACGCTTGAGGTCAGGCCTCAGGCAGCGGGCAACGTTGGCAACAGCGCGGTTGGTGGGGCGAGCGCCACGGCGGAGGGCGACGCCCTGGAAGCCCTTCTTGGGGCAGACAGCAGCTGTGCAACACAACACAATCACGCGCACAACAGCAAACAGCACCCGTCGTCAATCGCCGTCAACGAGAAAAGCAAGCAACAAGCAACAAACAACAAACAAACGGCAGCAACAACAACAACAACAACGACGACGCCACACACACACTTTGCACAAGCGCCTCTCACAACTCGCAACAATAACATACCCTTCTTTGTCTTGGTGATGACAATGGCACCGCCCTTGGGACCAGCCTTGAGACCAATGGCCTGAGCAACAACAAACGCATTCATGGCACATAGAGCAACCATGAAAAAAGAGCACGTTCTGAGAGGGTGGTAGCCTTTCCAAGGAGAGGATTCACCACCATGCAGGCCACATGTGCACAACATGGACAACAGGAAGGAAAAGTCTTTGCACCTTGGCGTTGACAATGCCAGAGAAGCGTGGGGAGTTGATGTTCTTCAGGTTGGTGGGCTCCTACAAAAGTGCAACACGCAGCATGTCAAACGGAGTTAGCAGGAGCATTGAGACGTGTGCAAGGGGATGGACATCATCAAAGGTGGCTGTTGTGCGCTGCTGCTGCTGCTGCTGTTGTTGTTGTTGTGAAATTGGGGGGGGGGAAGCAGCAGCTGTGAAAGTGGTTCTGCAGGTAACTGCGAGTTAACAGCCGCGAGTGCTGCACTTCAAAGATACGGCTGGTGCGGTACATCTTCCCTGCTGACCAGCATGCACAATTCCTTTCTCGCAACACATAACCCTCCCTGCCTCAGCCGGCACAGATGCTGTGTGGTGTCCTTGGCACACAAATGAGTGCATCCAACCGTGCAGCATGCCCGCTTCCACAACAACAGCGGCAGTGGCGGTCGTCGCAACAATCGTCGCGCTCGTTGGTGGTGCTGGTACCCCTCCACGCGACACGCGCAGCGTGTGATGTCACTGTGTACCTTGGAGAAGACACGGCCATCGCCGCTGGAGTTGACATGCTGGAACTTGTTGAACTTCCGCACAATCTTCCACTGCAGAGCCGAGGACATGGCTGGTTGTTGTTGTGTGTGTCGTGTGGTCGAGGCGAGGGGGCCAAAGGACTGCACCGCGTGGTGGTGTTGTGGATGCGACAATGATGCAAACGTGTGAGACCAAGACGATCCCGGTGCCCCATCCTCTGCCTCACACACCCGCCCGCGCAGAACACGTGCATTCAACACAGCAGGTGGGTGCATACAGCACCACACACAGCACCACATCATCACCACCCAAGACAAGACAGCAGCAGCACACACGAGGCACCAAAGCACACAACACGCACAGCACGCACCAAGGTTGGAAGTCGGCGCACACGATGGTGGTGAAAAAGGCACAAGCAGGCGACGGAGTGCGCACTTCCGCTTTGTTCCTTGTGCGAAATCTTTATGGTGGATAGCCTGCCTTGGAACAAGACGAGGATTTGCAATATCTCCCACAAGTCGCCACTACACATTACGACGCACACAAACACAAACAACACACACCACACCAACAAGAAACTCGCACACGTCGCGCGAACGCCCACAACCACACCACAGGAACAACACCAACCAGGGACTGCAACACTGCAAGTACAGCACCAACCAAAGCAGCAAGCAAGCAAAGCAAGCAAGGCACCAGTTCCTTTGTCTTCCCCTCTCAACACGCACACACACACACGCACACACACAATCTCTGTTGCTTTGCTTCCTTTCGTTGAATCGTTTTTGAGACCCACCACCATGGATTATTTCGGCGAGGCTGGCGTTCGTGCAGGTGCACGCGACACCGCTCGAAAGGTGAGCTGCGGACACCTCCTGGATGAACTGCGTGTGCGTGTGTACGTGTCTGTCTGTCTGCGAGAGAGAGAGAGAGTGTGTGTGTGTGTTTGTGTGTGTGTGTATGTGTGTGCACTGGACTGGGGAGAGCATGTCACTTGCTTCAGCTTCCCACTCATGATGCCTCGCCTTCTGTGTGCATCTCCACACGGACGCCGCATCTTGCTCCCCCCTCCTCCCACAGAACATGAAGGAAATGGTGAGTTTGTTCCCTGCACGTAGATGTGTGCGTGTGTGTGTGGATGTGGATGTGTTGCTGCCCGCTTGTTTCCGTGTTGCTGCCCGCTTGTTTCCGTGTTGCTGTTAGCGTGTCAGGCTGTGCACGTGACACTCGTCACCTACCCCTCTCCTCAACACAAACGCAGACCAGTCATGCAGTGATCGAATTGTGTTCTGCAGCTGCGCTTGTTGTTCATTCGTCTCACACTGGTTGCCGGTGCATGGGTGACTGCTGTTGCTGTTGCTGTTGCTGTTGCAGATTCGCCAAGTGCATGAGGTGTTCCCCGACACGCCCCGCGACCATGTCATTCTGCTGCTCGACAGCTTCCAGCATAGCGTTGCCGACGTCCTCGACGCTCTCTCGGATGGTACGGCTGTCCCTCATACCTTGTCTTGGCTCACCAACAACGCTGACTTGCGATTCCAACCTGCTGCTCTGCTGACATTGCCATTATGACACGCTGGCGTGCCACGTGGAGCTTGGACGCTTGCTTCGCTGCTGTTGGCCCACTCATACTTGTTCTTTCCCTGTACGCCTGATTGTGTTGCTCTTGTTGCTGTTGTATTGCTCTTGTTGCCGTTACATTGCTCTTGTCGTTGTTGTCGTGGTTTCCATTGTTGCTGTTCCCATTGCTGTTGTCGGTGATGACAAGGCTCCGCCAAGGCGCGCCTGCGCGAGTGGGACAAGGACGCAGCCGCGCAGAAGCAAAAGCAGGCCCGCAAGAAGCAGCAACAGCAGCAGCAGCGGGAGCGCAAGAAGCAGCAGCAAGAGGAGGCGCCCGGCGGCGACAAGAAGAACAAGAAGAAGGGGGTCCAGGGCGACAACGCAGACGCCAACGCGGCCAACGCCGCGTCCTCCGCCGCCAGCACCAAGAAGCGCGACAAGCGCAACCGCCGCAAGCACGAGGTAGGCTGTGGGTCATTCACGTGTTCCCATGCTTCATGTCACGCCTCGTTACATGTGGAGCAGTGCTTGCTGCGTGCGCGTGCATGCATTCTTTGCGTGCGTGTGCCTCGGGGGTGATCGGGTTTGGTGTGCGACAGCCCCCAACACCACCAGTCTGCTTGCTGCTGCTACTTCTGCTTCTGCTGCTCATTCACACGGAAACCGCGTGTGCGTGCGTCGCGTTGCCGTGCTGCCGTTAGATCAAGAAGCTTGACCCCATCAAGGTTGTGATTGACGATCTGCCGACACCGAGCACCGCGCCTGTCGCCGCCACGACTGCAGCCACTCCCGCGACTGGCACCCGCCCCAATGGCACAGCACATGCTGGTCCAGGTGAGTCTCGTCCATCCCGTCCATTTTGTCAATCCATGCGTTGATTCTTTCGTCAAGTCATGTCCATGTGTAGCATCAGCACACACGCCGTGCACTGATTGTTATCCACGCGTCGAGTTATGTCACCTACACGTGAACGCATCCATGAAGCGCCTGCCCAGACTGACACCAGCATGCTACACGCCACCATCGCCATCACCATGACTGTTGCGATTGATCAGATGCGGGGATGAAGCGGATTGACATCTCGGAGCTGATGGCCAGCACCCCGGCTGCCGTCCAGCGAACACTCATGCAGCAGCGTCAGTCGCCCGCGCTGTGTTGTGTTGTGTTGTGCTGTGTTGTGTTGTGTTGTGTTGTGTTGTGTGTACATGTCGCCCTTCGGGCATGAGGACGCCAATGTTCGCATGTGCGCCCACGCCACGTCTTGCGCTGTGTGCGTTACTCTCAATTTCTCACACACTCTCACGTGCACTGTTGGATGGTCCCAAACAGAGCGCGCGCTGAATCAGCAGGATGACGTTGTTGTCTCCACAGCGGAAGTCACGGACGACACCACAAAAGAAGGTGAAGTACCGCTCCATGTGCGCACGCCCGTGAAACACGACTCACATACGCGTGAGCACCCAAAGTATCGTCCACCTCATACACACACACACACACACACACACACACACACACACACACACACACACACACACACATAAGCAGGTGGGGCGCCTGCGCGGAATGTGCAGGTTGTGCGGCCGCCGCAGGATGTGCTTGAGACGGAGATGGTGGACCACCCGGCAGCCGTCAACCTCAAGAACATCGACGCCGTCCTCGCTCAGGTGCCCTGCAGTTGCCCGTGGCCGCGGTGGTGGTGGTGGTGGTGGTGCGTGGAGTAGGTTGTTGGTCGTGGTGGTAGTGGGCAGTGCGGCAGCAGTGGCGTGTTGTGTTGGCTCAATTGTTCACAGCTTATGTCTGATCGCTTTGTCATACACCCTCCACCCCACTCCCGACCTCACCCTCACCCTCTTCTTCGCCACGCCAACAGATGGAGGCGGAGATGAGTGCGCAGTGGGGCGCTGCGCGTGAGGATGTGCGCCTGTCCTTCCTTCGCCTCGCCCAGTCCATCACCATGCGCGAGACTGCCCTCATGCGCGAAATTGAGCGCGAGCTCTACCGTGAAGTCCAACTCCTCTCCAAGCGAAAGGTCAGTCCCCATTGCCTGCAGGCATCGCCAGTCCTGCTGCAGCACCCACAGCCATCCATGCTCTTCTTGTCACAACCACCACATTCACCGCTTTCGGTGTTGTTTGTGTGTGTGTGTTGTTGTGCAGGCGATGGTTGAACAGCTGAAGAAGAGCGTGCGCGCATCGTACGAGGAGACGGGCGCCGTGCCACCAGACACCCTGCTCAAGATTGAGGAGTTCAAGACCTTTAGCGAGGTGCGTGCTTGCTGTTTGGGCAAGCAACAACACGATGTGTTTCGATATGCTTGCTTGCGCACGCGCATGTGCAGTCGAATTCTTGCTTTCTCGCTTCACCTGATACGCTGCCGTCGTGTCAATGCGTGCGTGTGTGTGTGTGTGTGTGTGTGTGTGTGTGTGTGTGTGTGTGTGTGTGTGTGTGTGTGTGTGTGTGCTTGGACTCGCCTCATTCTCCCTCCTCCCCACTGTGCTGCAGCTTGATCTGCCGCACTGGCAGCAGCCGCGCTTCTTTGGTGCGCCGGAGTCCATTGCCCAGCAGCTCCTTTCCTTTGGCGCCCTCTACAACGCCGCATCAGGCGCGCCCCCACCAGAGGTGTGCGCACGAGCACGTGTTTGTTTGTTTGTTTGTTTGTTTGTTTGTTTGTTTGTTTGTTTGTTTGTTTGTTTGTTTGTTTGTTTGTTTGTTTGTTTGTTTGTTTGTTTGTTTGTTTGTTTGTTTGTTTGTTTGTTTGTTTGTTTGTTTGTTTGTTTGTTTGTTTGTTTGTTTGTGTGTGTCGCTTCGCGAGCTCCCTTTTCCCAGCCTGCCTGCTAATTCTCCACCTGCCAACAATCCCGCCCCCTTTGTTGTACGTGTGTGCGTGTGTGTGCTGTGTTGTGCAGACCATGACTGCGGGTCAGGGCGCCAAGATCGGCGGCAGCAACAGCACCAAGGCCAAGCAGGAGCCCATCAAGCTCAACATGCCCGCAGAGTACGTGTGTGCTGCTCTGTGTGAAGTTCTGATTTGCACAATTATTGCGTGTCCAAACACACACACGCACACACGCACACACGCACACACGCACACACGCACACACACACACACACGCACACACACACACACACTCACTCACACTCACGCACGCATGTAAACGCCACCTCCTTTCCCTCGACAACTTGTTGCATGGGAGTGCAGCCTGCTGCGTGGGCCTGATCCGTCTGCGGGGAAGAAGAAGCGACGCAGCAGGAACAAGCGGAGGAGCAAGCAGGAGAACGGCGAGGCGGCAACGACAAACGCGGCCACGTCAAGCACCAACAACACCGCCAGCAGCAGCAGCAAGAAGAAGAAGGGTGGAGTAAAGGAGGCAAGTGAGGGCGGCAAGGCAGCGGCGGATGCTGCAGATGGAAAGAAGAAGAAGGGACAGGCTGGGGAAGGCAAGAAGGAGGAGAAGAAGCAGAAGAAGAACAAGGGTCAGGAAGAGAAGGACAAGGGTGCAGCTGAGAAGGACAACAAGGCGAAGGCGAAGGCAAAGAAGAAGAACGAGAGCGACAACAGCCAGGCTGACAACACCAAGCAGGAGGACAAGGCAGTCGAGCCAGGTGCTGGTGACAGCAGCGGCGATGGCGAAGCGAAACCCCAGCGCAAACGCCGCAACAGGAGCCGCAACAGGAACCGAAACAGGAACAAGGGCGATGCCGGTGATGCGAGCGCTGATGGCGATGGTGCTGGTGAGCCGGCCAATGGTGGCGGTGACAAGGCAGCCACGCCTGTTGCAGACACCAAGAAGACGGATGGTGCTGATGGTGCTGATGGTGCTGATAGTGCTGAGAAGACAGGTGTTGAGGCCAAGCCGCAGCGCGCACAGCGGCAGCGGGAGCGCAGGCGCAATCGCAAGCCAGACACCAACGCGGGCGGTGAGGACGAGGCGGCAGACGTCGTGAAGGAGGAGAAGGAGGACAAGGGGGAAGAAGTGAAGACAGAGGAGAAGGAGGAAGACAAGGGGGAGGAACACGTTAAAGAGGATGATGATGATAAGCCTAACGAGACACAAGGCAATGGCGACTCAACGGAGCCAGTTATCGCCGCAGCTGCCAATGACACAGACACCAACGTCGACACCAACAACAGCGACACCACCACCAACCAGAACGACACCGGTGCGGCTCCTGTCAGCGAGCCAACCTCCACTACCAACAACAACGACGACGGTGACGGTGGTGGCGATGCTGATGGCAAGACTGACACGAGTGCAGATGCGTCTGCCTCTGCTTCCTCCGAGGACCTCCTGCCCCGCGACAGCAAGACGCTCAACTTCTGACCCGTGACCACCACGTTTCTGCCCACTCGCTTGGTGCTTGGTGGGTGTTGTGTTATTGTACTGTGGTCCTATTCCCATGACACTCTCCTTTGTTTCGTTTCGTGTTGGTCCTCTCCCCTGGTGCCACCTGAGGCTCGAGCGCACCTTTGTCGTTCTCCAAGCTTTTGCCTGTTTCTCGCTCTCTTTTGGCTCGCGTTTTCCCTTGTTTGACTTTGCTGTTCCCTTTTTTGCTTGCTGTTATCATCCAGACTGCCGTGTCTTCCACTGCCTTGCCGTTTGTGGCTGATGTGTGCCCATGCTCGAGCCCCTCGTGTGTGTGTGTGTGAGTGTGTGTGAGTGTGTATGCGTGGTTGTTGCTGGCTGTGGGGCCTTGTTAATGGTTGTGTGGTTTGCTGTTGTTGTTTGTTCTGACGCCCATCGAACGAGGTTGAAAATGCCACACGCTGTTGACGCGCCATGCCAGGGGGAGGCCGCATTGTGCTGTTGACGTTGCTGTTGCTATTGCTATTGCTGTTCGTTGTGGAAGAGAAACACGCAGAGTGAGACATGAGAACATGCATGGCGAGCTTGTGGAACTTGAGCATTGTAGAAAAGTGTTTGAAAGTTTCCACAAATCGTCGTGCCAAACAAGCGCTCGCTGACCACCACCTCCTGAGACGATGCAGCGACTCAGGTCGACGTTCAGTGGGAATGCGTGCCTGAAAGAGTATGACGTGGGTACACACGTCGCCAGTGCAGGTGAGCAATGGGGTGGATGATGGTGTGCAATGTGGTCTGTATGTCCTGCTGCGAAACCTGCTTGACTGTGCTGTATTGTGTACGACCAGCACACAGCAAATGCATCGCATGTGATGTTCACCAACAAACGCGCACACACTGACACATCGCGTGCTCAGGGACATGCTTGCTGTGGAGGGTGCACGACGCCGTTCACCGCGGCCGCAGCGAGGTGTGCTGAAGTCAAGCGCAGCTGTACCGACACAGGGAGAGAGAGAGGGAGAGCGAGCGAGAGAAAGAGAGAGAGAGCGTGTGTGTGTGTGTGTGTGTGTGTGTGTGTGTGTGTGTGTGTGTGTGTGTGTGTGTGTGTGTGTGTGTGTGTGTGTGTGTGTGCTCCCTTCCAGCTCCCTCAAGCTCATGCAAATCCTGTGCTTGCGACCTGACACGCACGGTTGCAGAACGCGAGCGTGTTCATTTTCGATAAGAAGGCCATCAACCAGGACAAGACTCTCGACCGAAGGACAAAGGACCGCGTCTTTGAGCTGGCGCGACAAGGCGCAAGCCAGGTACACGGGCTTTCGGCAACAACCAATAAACCCACAACCATGCCGCAGCTTAGTGTGTGCTGCTGCTGCTGGTACATCGGCTGTTGACTCCTGTTTGTTGCTCGTGTGCTGTGACATCAAAGAAAGCCTCCTTTGTGGTTCTCGCTGACGACACTGGGTGTCTTTCCCACCGCGCTTGCGATGCCGTTCACAGCTGCAAAAGCTGCGGCATCCCAACGTGTTGCGAATCGTGTTTCCCGTGACGGAGAGCAAAGACTATATCGCCTTTGCCACAGAGCGCGTCGTTGCCAGCCTCAGCAATTTGCTTGGCAAATTCGACAACCTGCCAAAGGTGTCGCTCTCCATCAAGCAATATGAGCTGGACGAGCTCGAGTGCTCCATCGGCATTTCACAGGTGTGTTTGTGTGTGTTTGTGTGTGTTTTTGTGTGTGTGTGTGTGTGTGTGTGTGTGTGTGTGTGTGTGTGTTTTTTTTGTGTGTGTGTGTGTGCGCGTGCGTGTGTGTGCGTGTTCCAAGTGCAGATGCTGTTCAGTTGTCGTCTTGAGCTGAACCCTGTGGTTCACACACCTCCCGCCATCCATGGTGTCTTCGTGGTTCATACCCACCCGCGCCATTGACATGTGTTCCACTCCAACCAACGACAGGTGTGCGATGCGCTGTCGTTCTGCCACGACCACGCTCAGCTCATCCACGGGAACGTGACGCCAGATGCCATTGTCGTGACGCAAGATGGCTCGTGGAAGCTTTGGGCATTTGACTTTGCGTGCCATGTCAAGTGCGTTGCTGTTGCTGTGTAATAGTGTGATCACATATGCGTCTGTGCGCGTGTGTATGTGTGTGTGTGTGTGTGTTGTATGTGCATGGTTTCGCGTAGTCTTGTGCATGTTCGCTCGTCTTGTGCCTCACCTCATGCATGTATACCGGCCACCCCATGTGCCCTCATCATCTACCAATCCGACACCCCCAACCCCATTTCTGCTTCAACGCAGGTACCAGGAGCCTGGTGCTGGTGTTGAATTCCCGGAGTACAGCGACACCACCCCCCGCAGCGCTGCCGGCCGCGCCACACAACCCGCCCTCGACTACCTCGCCCCAGGTGTGTGTCTGTGTGCGTGTGTGTGTGTGTGCGTGTGTGTGCGTGTGTGTGCGTGTGTGTCTGTGTGTGTCTGTTTGCGTGTGCGTCTGTTTGCGTGTGCGTCTGTTTGTGTGTGCGTCTTTGTGCAAGTCTCTGTCTTTCTCTCTCGGTCTCGTGTGGGTGGCGAGGGTCTGGTGCAACGTGACAAAGCTTCGCGATGCTTCCCTCCTTCATCGCAAAGCAACCGCACACACCACACGCTCGGGCACGCCTATTGCATCACACCTCAGAGTACATTGTGTCTCGGACGCGGAGTGTTGCGAGCGACGTGTATTCGCTTGGGCATGTCATCTTCGCTTGCTTCAACCACGGCCGCCCAATTCTCGAGAGCAACGGCAACGTCCTTGGTGGGGTGTCACGGCATGCATGGCAGTGGTGGTGGTGATGGTGGTGGTGGCAGTGGCAGTGGTGGTGGTGGTTAATTGACTGCTCTGTACTGTTGTTTGTCAATAACCGTGCAAACGCCCACATGTACACGCGCATGCTCACGTCACGTTCTTGTCCCGTGTGTTGTCTCCCGCGCGACATGTGTGCAGCGTTTCAAAGCAACGTCGAACGCATTTCACGCATGTCCGCAGGAGAGCTGTCGGAAGTTCCATCCGCTCTGCAGGACTTGGTGCGCATGTTGGACTTTCGTGCCTGTACTGCGTGTCATGTGTGTGTGTGTGTTGTGTGTGTTGTGTGTGTGTGTGTCATGTGTGTGTGTGTGTGTGTGTGTGTGTGTGTGTGTGTGTGTGTGTGTGTGTGTGTGTGTGTGTGTGTGTGTGTGGTGTCGTTTGCTGTCGTGGACTTCACGTCACGTGCAGACATGCTTTCTTACAATCACCCCTCCTTCCAAACACATAACCATGCTACCCTTATGCGTGCGACAGGTCAAGTCGATGCTCAACACACACGAATCCTTACGGCCGACGGCGCGCGACGTACCGCAGCACCAGTCGCTCAACACCACGCCGATGCTCACCCTCCGCTTTGTCACGTCCCTGCATGAGAAGGATAACCCAACCAAGGCGCAGTTTATGAAGGAGCTGCCGAAAGTGCTGCACTCTCTCCCGCGACGCGTCGTGCACCAGAGGGTGCGGTGGTGGTTCTTGTTGTTTAAGTTGTTGTTGTTTAAGTTGTTGTTGTTGTTGTTGTTGTTGTTGTTGTTGTTGTTATTGTTGTTTTTGAAGTTGTTCTGATTACCTGCACAGAGCTGCTGTGATGCTCGCGCCAAATCTCACATACTCTTAACGCAGTTGCACACACACACACGCGCGCGCGCGCGCCACACACATGTACACGCGCGAAATACAGGTGCTACCTGCGTTACAGCGCGAGTGCAAGCAGTCGCTCATGGCGCCGTTTGTGCTGCCCAACATCCTCACCATTGCCGACGGCTGCAGCATTGTGGAGTTTGAGAAGGACATCCTGCCCCACCTCATGCCCCTCTTCAGCGTCACAGACCCCGTGCAGGTGCATGCACTCGTGCGTGTGTGTGTCTGTGTCTGTGTGCGCATCTGTGTCTGTGTATGCGCGCTTATTTGTGCGTGGTATGCGTTGTTACTGATCGTCATTGCAAGTATCATGGGCTTTCTCTGCCAAGCCGTTATTGACTGCCCTCGCACATGCGTGTGTGTGTGTGTGTGCACAGGTGCAAGCCATCTTCTTGGGGAAACTCTCGCTGCTGCTTGAAAAGAGCCCGAGCAACATCGTATGTCCACTCATTCACGCATGCGCTGGCGTGCACGCATGTGCGACCGTGTGTTTCGTACCGCCCGCCCACGCAAAGTGTTTTCCTTGGTCACCGCCACATCTCGCTCATCGTCAAATTATCATCATCCCCACATCTTGTTTCTTTTCGCTGAATCAGGTGAAGCAGCACATTCTGCCAATGATTTATCGAGCGCTTTCCTCCAAAGACAGCAGGTCGGCAACACACACGGGCACTGTGCCTGTTGCCCTGTTGTTGTTGTCGTTGTTGCTTTGCTCGTTGTTGTTGTTGTTGTTGTTGTTGTTGTTGTTTAAGTTGTTGTTGTTGTTGTTGTTGTTGTTGTTGTTGTGGGTTGTTGTTGTTGTTGTGGTTGTTGTTGTTGAAGTTGTTGTTGTTGTTGTTGCTGCTGCTGCTGCTGCTGCTGCTGCTATTTCTTCGACCAGTGCACGTGCAACGCTGTGCTCACATCACCATCATCACCGCCACACTTGTCGCAATCACCGGCACCCCTCCCCCCTTCGTTTACAGCGTCGTCGGGTTGTGTTTGCAGGTCCTTCCGTCTGTCATGAACACCATCGACTACGCGGCGATGAAGAATGAACTCCTCCCTCTCGTTCAGGTGTGTGCATGTGTTCTTGTGTGCTGTTGTGTAGGGGTGTACGTATCTGCGTGCTCGATCACTCACACACTCACTCACTCACTCACTCACTCACTCACTCACTCACTCACTCACTCACTCACTCACTCACTCACTCACTCACTCACTCACTCACTCACTCACTCACTCACTCACTCACCCTTCCCACTTTGGTGTACATGGCAGCGGCTTGTTGTGACGACGACAGATGCGAAGTTGCGCATCAACGGGCTCGTGTGTCTCGGCCAGCTCCTCCCCGTTATGGACAAGTGGATCTTCCAGGTGCGGCGGACACATGTGCTCGCACAATCGTGCTTGCATGCATGAGTACTGTCAGAGCGTGGTCACACGTGCGCACATGTGTGTGATGGCAATGCTAGCGCATGCGTGCACATGTGCTGGTGCAGTTGCACTTGCATCACTGGCATGACATGCGTTCTGTCTACCACTCTTGCTGCCACCCACTTAAATGCTTTGTTTTGCCTGCACACGTGCTGGCTATTGTGTGCAGGAGAGCATGTTGCCGATGCTGGAGCACGTGAAGCAGCGAGACGCCGGCGTCGTCATGGCCATGCTGGGCGTCCTGCACCAGGTGCGGCACACACACACACACATGCACACACACACACATTCGCATACACGCACCTCACACGCACACACACTATCTCACACATGAACTGACACATTGGTCATCATTCGCTTGATGGCGCCATCCACCATAATCGTTCGCGCGTGCACGTTTGTTCACAGGCGCTGCGCGACAAAGACAAATATGGCCTGGATGCGTGCTGTCTCTCCACCCGCGTGCTCGTTCTCATTGCTCCGTTTATGGCAGCGCCAAACCTCAACCTCAAGCAGGTGTGTGTGTGTGTGTGTGTGCGTGTGTGTGCATGCTTGCGCATGTGACACGTGTGTGTGTGTGTATGTGTGTGTATGTGCATTGCCTTGTGTTTCCGCAACGCCTACGAATGGCTCACGCATCGACGTGCATCCACATTATCAGTTCACGACGATTGTGCGGCTGGTAAGGGACATCACGACGTCGATTGAGAACGAGCGGACGAAAGCGCTCAAGGAACGCGAAGTGCTTGCACGCCAGGCAGACTCCACCGTCGCTGCCATGACACACGTGAGATGCAGCGCGTGTTTGTTTGTTTTGTCTTGTTTGTTTTGTCTTGTTTGTTTTATCTTGTTTGTTTTGTCTTGTTTTATTTTGTCTTGTTTGTTTTGTTTGTCTGCGCCGCTATTCGCCCTGTTCATCGTAATCGCTGTCCGCATCACACACAACAGAAGGATGGAGCATCCTCCTCCTCCACCTCGTCCCTGTCCGCTTTTCCGACCTTTGACACTGCAGGGGAACGCGACGTTCTAGCACGACTCGCCAAGATGCCAACGCCAACAGCAACCACGCCGTCACCACCACCGCACACCACAGCACCAACAGCAGCAACGACAGCACCAACAGCAGCAACGACAGCACCAACAGCGACTGGCGCCTCAGCCGGCTCCATCTTTGACGGATTTGCGGTCACGTCGGCCGGTATCT